TTTGTGTGCCTTGAAATACCATTTATGTTATCTTATGAAAGATAGTTTTCTTGTCTTTGCCTCAGTGTATTTAAAACCTTGTATTCCTGGCTTGGCTCATGTAGCTCAAGCAGCTAGGGTGCCAGCCACATACACGGGAGCTGGTGGATTCAAATCCAGCCCAGGCCCGCCAAACAACCATGACCCTATAACCAAAAATAGCTGGGTGTTGTGGTGGGTACTGTGGTGGGTGCCCGTACTCCCAGATGCTTGGGAGGCTGAGACAAGAGGATTGCTTAAGCCCAAGAGTTTGAGGTTGCTGTGATCTGTGATACCATGGCACTCTACCCAGGGCAACAGCTTGAGACTCTGTCTCAAAAAAAAACACCCTGTATTCCCTAACTTTAGGATTTTTTGTTTTTGTTTTTGAAGACAAGAGTCTCACTTTGCCACCCTCAATAGAGTGCTGTAGTATCATAGCTCACAGCAGCCTCAAACTCTTGGTCTCAAAGTATCCTCCTGCCTCAGCCTCCCAAGTAGCTGGGACTACACAGACACCTGCCACAACACCCAGCTATTATTTATTTATTTATTGAGGCAGAGTCTCAAGCTGCCACCCTCGGTAGAGTGGTATGGCATCACAGCTTACAGCAACCTCAAACTCCTGGGCTTAAGCGATTTTCTTGCCTCGGCCTCCCAAGTAGCTGGGACTATAGGTGCCTGCCATAACGCCCCACTATTTTTGTTTTGTTGTTGCAGTTGTTATTGTTGATTTTTAGCTGGCCCAGGCCAGGTTCAAACCCACCAGCCTTGGTGTATGTGGCCGGTGCTCTACCCACTGAGCCATGGGCACCACTACCCAGCTATTTTTTAGAGATAGGGTCACACTCTTGCTCAGGCTGGTCTGAAACTCCTGAGCTCAAGTAATCCACCCACCACAGCGTCCCAAAGTGTTAGGATTACAGGTGTGAACCACCTTGCCTCGCCCTCTTTTTGTTTGTTTTCTACTTGGTCATCACACTAACAAACATGCATCTCACAAAATTGTGATTTACCTTCTGATTTGGGACTGAAAGAGCTCAGATAAGTATTCTGTTCATTCCTTTTCTTCTAAGCAGATCTGCATTAAACTATTAAACGTGAATTTCATAATATTCCTTCCCCGTGTCTTCTATGTTGAAATGTACTATCACATTTCCTCCTTTTGTTTTCTGTAAAAATAGAGGAAGATCTCATAAGGAGTCCAATGACTCGACCACCAGGCCTTGCGGGTCCCCCTGGCATATTTACTCTTGTCATGATTGCTGGCCAGAGCTATGACTGTGACTACACCCAGCTTTTCCCAAACTCCCAAAGACCCTATTAACTAACCAATCTCCCAAACACATCAACAGTTTCCTTGAGCAACCATTCTATATTGCCCAGGGTGAGAGTTAATTTAACTTGAACATCTGTTACCGTGGGAACAAGGCCAGTGCTAAACTGGTTTCTGTTAGGACAATGGTTCTCAATCTGTAGGTCACGACCCCTTATTATTTATTTATTTTTGGCCAGGGCTGGGTTTGAACTCATTGCCTCTGGCATATGTGGCTGGCATCCTACTCCTCGGCCAGAGGTACTGCCCTCGTGACCCCTTCTTAACAATGAAAATACACTGTGGACTTAGGAAGGTTGAGAACCACTGTGTTAGAAACTTGTGATGTCTTTCTAACACGAGTGTTTTTCTCAATAAGTTCAACACACTTTATTTATTTATTTAGAGACAGACTCTCACTCTGTTGTCCTGGGTGGAGTGCCATGGCTTCATAGCAGCCACCTTAAACTTTTGGGCTCAAGGGATCTTCCTGCCTCAGCTTCCCCTGTAGCTGGGACTACAGGCACCTGCAATCATGCTAGGCTAGTTTTTCTATTATTAATAGAGACAGGGTCTCTCGCTCAGACTTGAACTCCTGAGCTCAAGTAATTCACCTACGTCAGCCTCCCGGAGTGATAGGATTACAGGTGTGTGCCTGGGTTCAAGACCAGTCTGAGCAAGAGAAGGATCTGGTCTGTATTAAAAATAGAAAAATAGCTGGGCAGCATGGAGGGCACCTGTAGTCCCAGCTACTCTTGAGGCTAAGACAGGAGTATCCCTTGAACCCCAAGAGTGTGAAGTTGCTGTGAGCTATGCCGCCCTAGCACACTACCCAGGGTGATGAAGTGAGATTCTGCCTCTAAATAAATAAACAAACACTAAAATTGATGCAGTTTAGGCCAGGTGCAATGCCTCATGCCTATAATTCTAGCACTCTGGGAAGCTGAGGCTGGTGGATTGCTTGAGCTCAGGAGCTGGAGACTAGCTTGAGCAAGAGTAAGAGACTCAGTCACTACTAAAAAGAGAAAAACTACCCAGAGCATTGTGGCCCAAGCCTGTAGTCCCAGCTACTCCAGAGGCTAAGGCAAGAGGACTGCCTGAGCTCAAAGGATTTGAGGTTGCTGTGAGACATAATGCCGTGGCACTCTAGCCTGGGACAACAAGGTGAGACTCCTCCGAAAAAATAAAACAGATAAAACTGATGCAGTTTAAGATATTTTTCTGTTAAACACAACTTTGTTGTTTTGGTAAGACTACATATCACTTTAACCTGAAAATGTAAAATTCACTCTGTGTTACAAAGATTTAGCATAAAAAAAGTCAGTAAACGATTTTAATAATTTTTACCTTGAGTCCATGATGAAATGATATTATTTTGGGTATATTGGGCTAAATAAAATAATTATTAAAATTAATTTTTCTGGGAGGCGCCTGTGGCTCAGTGAGTAGGGTGCTGACCCCATACTGAGGGTGGTGGGTTCAGACCTGGCCCCGGCCAAACTGCAACAACAACCACAACAAAAATTAATTTTTCTTCTTTTGGAATTTTTGTGTAGCTACTAGAAAATGTAATGTGACATGCTTGCATTGCCTCTCTATTGCCCTGTGTGATTTTATTTTCCTTTGGCTTGGCTGCTAAATCCAGTTGCTCTGGTACTAAAGGGACCTCTGGCTCTGTGTTCCCTTGAAGAGGAGAATGAGATGGGGGAGGGGAGGTGTCATCAGATCAGGTTTAGATAATATCTTCAAGTAAGGAAAGGAGACAAGGTAATCTGGTTTGTTTTGGTAGTATCAATTTGGATTCTATACTCTCAAGCAAAACCCTAGCAGGGGTGTCCAACCTTTTTACTTTCTCTGCTGCACACTGGAAAAAGAAAAGTTGTCTTGGGCCACATAGTAAATACACAAAAACTAAAGCAAGCTGATGAGCAAACAAAGGCTGTGCATAATTTTCATGCTATCCAACACCAGAGATAAGCAAAAAAGTCCTTACATTATGAGCATGTGGCCCAGAGGCCACAGATTGGACACCGATGCAAGGAAAATGAGTTCCTCGGCTCGGCGCCTGTGGCTCAAGCAGCTAAGGCGCCAGCCACATACACCTAAGGTGGCGGGTTCGAATCCCCAGCCCGGGCCTGCCAAACAACAATGATGGCTGCAACCAAAAAATGGCCGGGTGCTGTGGCAGGTGCCTGTAGTCCCAGCTACTTGGGAGGCTGAGGCAGGAGACTCGCATGAGCCCAGGAGTTGGAGGTTGCTGTGAGCGTGATGCCATGGCACTCTACCCAGGGGGGATAGCTTGAGGCTCTGTCTCAAAAAAAAAGAAAATGAGTTCCTCCAACTCACTGTGGAGAAAAATTTATCTATTTATTGATCTTCCTTCACCCCACCACACCCCAGTGTTGGTTAGGAATGGGACAACAGTTGATATTTTTCCTCTAACAAAGCCTAGATATTATCTCCCAGTTACCAACTGTTTAAACACAAACCACATTGTTCTGTTTTGTTTACTCTCACCCTGAAGCCTCTGCTCTCTCTCCCTCATTATCCTTCGTCTTCCTCGGTTCTCATTTTTCTCAGTATGTTTTCCTACTTACCTTGTTTCATTTTCTTCCATGATTTAGTAATTAGATAACATACCTCACATTTTTCTTTCAAGAAACTCATAGCTCATAACCAGTAGGATATTAATGATCCTTCTTAGTTGTGTGAGGATCAGTTGCCCTATCCCTTCATTTCTTAAATGGGAGAAGAGAAACAGTATAAATTCCTATGGTTCAAAACTTTTTCGTCCCATTCACTGAAGAATCGCCGACTTCTTGGAGAGTGTCTGTTATGTAGGAAGTGCTCTGTAAACATCTTTTTAATTGAATTGCATGAAATTTAATGCATTTCTCTAAGCCTAAGACTGGTGAGAAAGTCACGTAGAATTCAGAGTGGGAGGTACGGTGAGTGCCAAAAGGAATTTGGGTTGTATCCCATAGGCAATTGATCTTCTCCTTTCTGCCGCTGGGCAAGTTAGTCTGGATCCTGAAAAACTGGGTGTCCTTTCCCCCAGGTGAGATTATGCTAATCAAAGGCTAGGTAGGGCCAAAAACTAGCCAAGTTCTTCCCCCTTCGAACTCTACCTAGAATTTAAAAACTAGCCAAGTTCTTCCCGCTTCGAACTCTACCTGGAATTAAAAAGCCTCTGTAAATTCATAGGATTATGAATTGTTCCTGCTAACATTCCTTAAACAACCTTACATCTTTGATGGTAGGTAGTCACTGGACTTTGCCTTTTAAAAAGCAGATTTAATCAATCCCAAGCCTATGCAAAAGCAAAAAGTAGTGTATTTGCCCGCCCTCAAAGCTTTTCTGGTGGCTTTTTATCTGAGAAACTAAAACTGGAGTAGAAGAGGGAAGAAGTAAAGGATGAGCTTTTAAAAAGGGGGTTGGTGGAGAGTGACAGGATGTGGTTTTAAAAGGGGGGGCGTTATTGCTTGCCGGTGAGGGGCAGGGAGGGAGGGGTGTTCTGAATTCTGATAACACAAAATTCCGAGAGGTCACGAGATTACTGGGGGCGGGTGTGGGGTGGGGCTGGGGGCTTGTCGCCCTTCCAGGCTCCACCCTTTGCTGAGATTATAACTAGCGGGAGCGCCGCCGGGGCCAGAGATGCTGTAATGGTGAGCGTGTGTTTCCGAGCGATCCTGAGAACCTGAGGAAAACTTGCTGCCCCGAAGGACATTTTGAAGGTTTTGTTGGCTGGAAGAGGTGTCTCTGGAATCCCACTCTCAAATCTTTCTTGAAGATTTGAAAGGAACTAGGTTAGGGCCATGGGGACGCAAAAGGTAAGAATGTTATAATTACTGGTTATTTTTGCTTGTTGGGGGTAAGCTCAGAAAGGCAAATTTTAATGGCGATTGCCTTGTTTTATTTTCTCCTGAGTCACCGAGCCATCTCAAGGCCTTTGCATTTCTTCAGCCTGCAGTGCTGTGGTTTCACGAGTTCTCTTTGAATGTCATTGGATGAAGGATTTATCCCAATTCCGTTCACCTTCTTATTGTAGGAAAGTCACCTGGAGAAGTTGTTTGCTTCTCAGGTTTATTTTATGTAACTATACAGTACAGGAGGCGACCCTGTGAGTGTTCAGAGGATCAGGGGCTGCTTGCTTGTGTAGATTACAAGTGTGGGTGCCATGGCCATGAAGACTTCTCTGGAAGCATTAGACCTTGAAAGGACTGGGGATTGTTTGGGGTTCAGGTCAGTGTCCTGCCGTCTGTTCTAAACCGTATAGGATGCCATGGGTGCCAGTTTTCCTTCCTGTTGTGGTTATTCTTTTGAGTGCAGTATGTATTAGTATACTTTTGTGTGTTGTGTATGCAGTATTTGGAGGGAGACAGGCATTTTCACCAGGATAAATTTATTTGAAAATAAAGGAAAATAAGAGAAAGGCTGGGGTAAAAAAAAAAATGAGACTGAAGAGTAAAAGTCCCTCCAAGATAGTGAATGATGAGAGTAGAACGAAGATTTTTTTTTTTTTTTTTACTAAAAAGAAAAAGGATTTGGCAGGAAGAGCTTTATACTGGCAGGACTTTCTGTAGTGCTGATGCTTAGGTGGGACTGTGACGCCTCGGCTGGACGCCATAAGGCAAGGTCAGATTCTCAGTTGAAGCTCCCACCCTGCTACACTGGCTGACGTGAAAGGAGAGGAGTCTGTGATAGGAAAGGTTGAAGGGAATGAGAGGCCCTAGAGGATGTTCTCAGGCACGGAAAGTGAGTTGTCCCAAGGTGGAAATCTAAAGTAATACCCACTTGCCCATTGGAATGATTCACAGCGAAGTAAAAGATGACTCTGTTTTGTTTTTGTTTTTGAGACAGTCTCGCTTTGTACCCTCAGTAGAGTGCGGTGGCTTCATAGCTCTCAACAATCTCAAACTCTTGGGCTCAAGTGATTCTCTTGTCTTAGCCTCCCGTGTAGCTGGGACTAAAGTCACCCACCACAACGCCCTGCTATTTATGGAGACTGGGTCTCACTCTAGCTCAGGCTGAAAGAGACGACTTTTTGATATCCCAGCCCCCAAGAAATGTTTCCTCGATGTTGGTTTGGGATTACGTCTAGTATCACACGAATACACACTCTCAGATTATGGACAGCAGAACATTATTCAGAAAATGGGAAGACTTTCAAATGCAGCTAGAGCCTGGTGTGGGTGGAGAGATAAAAAGACTCAAAGACAACAGTTACCACCACTACCATGCCACCTTTTGTGAGTCTGTGAGTCTGAGGGACACTGGATGTAGCTGTTTGTGAAATAATCAGTTCTTAGGAATCCTCCTTAAGGCTGTCTTTGCCTCCGCCCTCCCAGTTCTTGCTCATAGTCTTATGCTTACTTTTATCCTCAGGCAGATTTTTAAATGTTTCCAAAGTGACTGTCCCAGTTTCTCTTAACTTCTCCCTTCCCTAATTTTCTTGCAACTTTTCCCAGGTTAACCCAGATTTTTATGTCCAGATAATTTCTTCAGTGTAAATTATGCCTTTGTGTTTCTCATTCATTACCTAAGTGTCATTAGATTTTTGTCCATTTCATATCACTCATAGGTCAAGTTCTCTAATACAGCTCCATAATCAGTAAGAAGTAATCATCAAAGTTTTTTTTTTTTTTTAATTGAGACAGAATCTCACTTTGTCACCCTCGGTAGAGTGCCATTGTGTCATAGCTCATAGAAGCCTCATACTCTTGGGCTCAAGTGATTCTCTTGCCTCAGCCTCCTGAGTAGCTGGGACTACAGGCACTTGCCACAACGCCCAGCTATTTTTGGTTTGTTTGTTTAGCAGGCCTGGACTGGACTAGGTTTGAACCCACCGGCCCTGGAGCATGTGGCCAGAGCCCAACCACAAGGCTACAGGCACTCCCAATCGAAGTTTTAAGGAGTATTTCTTCTCTCCTCACTGTTCTGCCTTCTCCTCAGGTCACTCCATCTCTGATCTTCGCCATTGCTATTGCTACAATTGGCTCTTTCCAGTTTGGCTACAACACTGGAGTCATCAATGCTCCTGAAGCGGTAAGTGTTAGGCAATAAGAGTTAGAATTTGGAATAGGGATGTTATTCCTCTCATTTAAGTAGGATTTCAAGAATTCAGAATGAAAGATAAACTTTATATCCAGCCTGGCTAAGATGGAAGAGGCAGAGTATATTGGTGGGAAAGTCTAATGGAGTCATTTATTCCAAGCAAAAGGCCCATTTGCTTGCTGTACTCTAGATCTTACCTGTTCTTCCTCTCTCCTACTCTCTTCTGTGGTAAACTTCCCATATTATTCTTTAAGGGCTAGTTACAAAGAAGGGGGTTCTCTTAGGAAAGGGCAATGGTAGACAGTGAACATCAGTGCTGCCACCTACTGGGGTTTTCAAGATTAACTAAAACCTTGCCTTGGAAGATAGCAATATTAATTCCAATATGTCAGGAAAACATACTGTCTCTTCTATCCCCTTCTAGTCATGCCTTTGATCCTCTACTTATAAAATAAAGGTAAAGTTGTTCTTTTAGGAAGGAAATGATCCCTAATATCTTTTGTTCTCATCCAATGGTTAACAGTCTATCTTCCCACCAACCATTTTATGTTGCAGATCATAAAGGATTTTCTCAATTACACTTTGGAAGAGAGGCTAGAAGATCTTCCCTCGACGGGGTTGCTCACATCCCTCTGGTCCTTGTCTGTGGCCATTTTCTCCGTTGGTGGTATGATTGGCTCCTTTTCCGTTGGACTCTTTGTCAACCGCTTTGGCAGGTATTGACCAGAAATTGGGCGAGAAAGTAGGCTGTGCTGGTTGCATTGAAGACAATATAGAAAGTTAAGGCAGGGAGGTGATTGATTGATGGTGCCTTTGAGAGAACACTTCAAATTAGAATCAAGGGAAACCTAGTCCAACTGACCCTGAGTATGACTACCCTTTCTTGGAGCACAACTACTGTGCATAGCTTCTACCAGCCTTGGTAGTGGAAGTGAATGACTGGCCTTTGCAGTCCAGTTTAGGCTAGTTCAAAGTTTTTTTTGTTTGTTTGTTTGGTTGGTTTTTTTGTGGGGACAGAGTAAGACCCTGGGTAGAGTGCCTTGGCATCATAGCTCATAGCAACCTCAAACTCTTGGGCTTGAACAATCCTCTTGCCTCAGACTCCCAAGTAACTGGTACCACAGGCATGCGCCACTATGCCTGGCTAGTTTTTCTATTTTTAGAGACATAGTCTTGATCTTGCTCAGGCTAGTCTCAAACTCCCGAGCTTAAGCAATCCACTGGCCTGGCCTTCCCTGAATGCTAAGATTACAGGTGTAAGCCACCTCACCTGGCCCAGAGTTATTTTCTAGTAAGTTCAACTGTGGAGTTTCCCAGAAACATAGTTCATATACAAGGTCTAAAGTTGTTAAAGATGCTGGGGTTTCATAGAAATGTTCTCATTATTTTACATAGGAGTAGTAGTAGGAAATATTTTTCTAATTCTTGGCCTATGTTAAATGTGAATAATGGCTAAATAACTGAATTGAATTCTTCTTTTTTTTTTTTTTTTGAGATGGAGTCTTACTCTGTTGCTCAGAATAGACTTAGGCACCCACTGCCACAATGCCCAGCTAATTTTTCTATTTTCAGTAGAGATGGAGGTCTCGCTCTTGCTTAGACTGGTCTCGACCTCCTGATGAGTTCAACAGATCCTCTGACCTTGGCCTCCTAGGATTATAGGTTTGAGCCACTGCACCCAGCCTGATTTTTTTTTTTTTTTTGAGACACTGTCTCTTTTTATCACCTGGGTCAGAGTGCAGTGGAGTCATCATAATTCACTGCAACCTCAAATTTCTGCGCTCAAGCAGTCTTCCCTCACTTGGCCTCCCTAAGTGCTAGGATTACAGGCATGAGCTGCCATGCCCAGCCTTGAATTGAATTCTTTTCCCCCAAAAAGAAAACTGAATTTTCTCCTTCTATAATAGCTTATTAATGTATCTTGGAAGATAGAGTATCCCCTTTCTATAATGACAGATGAAGAAACCATTTAGTTCGCCAATTAGATGCTGTAGAAACATAAAGGAAATTAAATTAAAAAATTAATAAGGCAGCCTCTTTTATTCCATAAAGTTAATTGTTGTTATTTATTTTTTCGACAGAGTCTCACTATGTCACCCTCACTAGAGTGCTGTGAAATCACAGCTCACAGCAACTTCAAACTCTTGGGTGTAAGCAATTCTCTTGCCTCAGCCTCCCAAGTAGCTGGGACTATAAGAGCCCACCACAATGCCTGGCTATTTTTTTGTTGCAGTTGTCATTTTTAGCTGGCCTAGGCTGGGTTTGAACCTGCCAGTCTCAGTGCATGTGGCCAGTGCCATAACCACAGTCCTGTGGGCACCCAGCCTATTATTAAAGAGACAAAGGTCTTGTTATGTTCTTGGACTCAATGATCCTCCCAACTAGAAATGTTCTGATAATAGAAAGTGAAAAAGAAAAGTTACACCAAATGAGGAGAAGATAGGAGCCAGAGAAGAGCAGAATAATGAAGAAAGAAAAGGATACAGTCAGATCTTATCAGTTCACTAACCTCACTTTGTGTTTGATTAACCATTACAGGCGCAACTCAATGCTTTTTGTCAACCTGTTGGCCATTGCTGGTGGCAGCTTCATGGGGTTCTGTAAATTAGCTGAGTCGTTTGAAATGCTGATCCTGGGCCGATTGATTATTGGCCTCTTCTGCGGACTCTGCACTGGTTTTGTCCCCATGTACATTGGAGAGATCTCTCCTACTGCCCTACGGGGTGCCTTTGGCACTCTTAATCAGCTGGGCATTGTCATCGGAATCCTGATAGCCCAGGTACTCCAGAACTTCTCATGCTTAATATGTATTAGTTTCAGGGCTCATTAAAAGAGTTAACATGCGGCAGCGCCTGTGGCTTAAAGGAGTAGGGCACTAGCCCCATATGCTGGAGGTGCTGGGTTCAAACTCAGCCCCGGCCCCCCAAAAAAAGTTCACATGGATAAAGCATTATTCGATCACATGTAAAAGTTTCAGATATTGTTCTATAGCTCACAGATAAAGCAGCAGACAGGATACAGAAAGGAAAAGAAGCACCATCTGTTTATCTTTTCCTGTAGTAAAAGAAGGGATGATTTTCATTAACTTTTTTAAAAAATGAACTTCTGGCCTATGGAGTGTGGGTTTTAATAGCATTATCTTTGTCTGGTTCCTAGATCTTTGGTCTGGAAGTCATCTTGGGATCTGAAGAGCTATGGCCCGTGCTATTAGGCTTTACCATCATTCCAGCTGTCCTACAAAGTGTAGCCCTTCCATTTTGCCCTGAAAGTCCTAGATTCTTGCTCATTAATCGAAAGGAAGAAGAAAAGGCTAAGGAGAGTGAGTATCTTCCAAACTTCCCTATGGGAATTTCAGGGTTTTGTGGTTTGTTTTAAAGAGTGAGGGTATTGTATCTATTTTTTGTCATTCAAGAGCCAAGTAGAGAGTTTTCTGATGACTCTTGAATCAAACTTTCAACCCCTAAAGAACAAGGTAGAAGACAAGTACAGGTGTAGATGTTCACTGATCACCCCATCTTGTGTGGTTTCTTCCCAGCTTTCTTTTTTCTTTTTTGAGACAGTCTAATTTTGTCTCCCTCAACAGAGTGCTGTAGCATCACAGCTTGCAGCAACCCCAAACTCTTGAGCTTAAGTGATTCTCTTGCCTCAGCCTCCCAAGTAGCTGGGACCACAGGTACCTGCCACAATGCCCAGCTATTTTTTGGTTGCAGTTGTCATTGTTGTTTAGCAGGCCCAGGCCAGGTTCGAACCCACCAGCCTTGGTGTATGTGGCCAGGCCGAAACCACTGTGCTATGGGTGCCAAGCCATCTTTCTTTTTTTTTTTTTTTTTT